CAGTCCATACTAGGGCTGTATGGATAGATGTAACATTTGTGCTGGGGGAAGTGCCTTTCTTCTGACATAAAAAATGAGCATGCAACTGTTCAAAGTTTTATTTTTGCAGAAAAGAGCTGGCTCTTGCATCAGCTGGAAAGCTATATGCTTCTTTCAATAGTGGAATACCCCCAGTATCCCAGTCTTCCACCCTCCCTCCTCCCTTCCTCTTTGGAATGGGTCAAACTGCTTTGGGATCAGTTGTGTTCCAAGGGTATAGCACAGTATGTCCTGGCTCACCTGTGAGTTGGTAAGGGCAGAGAGCATAAATCTGCAAACTTCCACCTCCCTCCTCCCTACCACCCCACCCATCTCACCTGCCCAAGGCCTGGAGCCACCTCTCCCCTGCAGCCACCTCCAGCTGATGCATCAACCAGACAGCATGTCTGCATAGGGGTGGCAAAAAAGTAGTTCCCCATCACCCAGCTGGAGAGTTCTCTTTCAAGGCAACTTTGACTCCTCACCATATTTTCCAGGCATTGAACCCTTGTTCATATCCCCAATCTCCCCTTCTGTTTGGTGAGGAGTCTCCAATAACTGAACTATGCCATCAGATGTGAGGCATTCACATTTCAAATGCTACCTCCTTCAATGGCAAATAAAGGTTACAGGTATTTGGGTTATTTTGAGTTTACTGACAGACTAAAGTAATAAAATCTAGGCTATCTAGTCAGTTCTTATTTAAGAAAAGAAAAGAACTAGTATAGATCAGGGCCTCTGCCTTGCAGTAACTTTTGTTTTGGGTATTTGCACAAGGAAGCCCAGGCATTGCTCTGACAGACACCACTTCACAAGATTCTGTGTAAAGTGTCAAGAAGTTGCTTGTTCCCAAGAATAGGTCCTGTCAATCTAGTCCAATTGCTAAAGTGCTATGAGGAGTCTCTTTCTCCATTGTCAGCAGTTAACAAATAATGCATAATAATCCCACTGGTTTTTTTTAAACTTGTTTCACATTTGTCAGAATTTCTTGGATCTGTAAAGGAAAATATTCTAGAGAGAAGGCAGTTATACATGCTGCTAGTTTTATGTGTATTCAATTTGTGTTGGATATAAGAAAATTGACTGCTTTTTGTATTGCATAGAAAACTTGTAAAGTGCATTCTAGTGACTAAGGTTCTTGCTAGATACTTCAGATTGTTGCATTTGTATTCCACTAATTTTGTTCCATTAGTTAAATTTGGAGGCCCAAAATTATTTCTCTGAGTAGGATTTTGATGTATTGGTATGTTTAGTGCTGCAAAAGGTGAATTGGCCTCATATTAGATGGAATGAAATTGACAAGGTATTTAAAAAGGGATGATGCATTTCTAATTAGTCTACGGTGCCTGTAGATGGAAATTAATTATATTGTTATGTAAATGTCATGTTAATTAAGAGAGCATATTGGAAGAGTAATAAATCTGCAAAAGAAATGGGTAAGTTAACTATTTTTATGTTTTATTAATATTTTACTGTTACGAGCGAATATGATAGTGAAATGTTAGTTTGATTATTGGGCCACAGACCATTTTTAACTAACTATTTGACAGTCTGTTTGTCCTAACTGATGCCCTTCCATAGTACTATGTTAACAGTAGCTACAAGTTAGTGATACCAGGAGCCAAAAATAACTAGGCGCTGCAGGTGTATTAACAAGACTACCTATATTTTTCTACATTCCCAGTGTTACAAAGTATTTCTCTTTGGTTGCCCTCTCTTTCAGGGCTGAATATACAAACCCAACTTATTTTCACCATAAAATTTGCCATATTTTGGCTGCTGTAAAGCTCCAGTTCCTGAATTCATATGCTAGTGTTGGCGAGTAACGGCTTTCATTATATCTGCTTCTGCATCTCTTATTAAAGAAACTCAAACTCCTTAAAATCTCATGACTAAGCTAACTTCATGAATTTTGGATCTGCAGATAGGATAATGAAGTACATGTAAAAGCTATATTATTCTTCAGCTTTAGTCTTATAACATTTTGCAGTGAGAGCAATTAGCAGTCTCCAGCCTTTTGGATTATACCATGAGCTGGCCCCTGGATTCTTTCATTTGCAGATGTATTGTGCACATGAGCATTTTGTGAATCCTGGTCAATTCGCCTGAGCCCTGATTTCAGGTATTTACGTTTTGATACTTGGGCGAGACGTGTTATCTTTACCAAGTAGGTTGGACCACCATCCTCACTTATCTGAGTTAATTTTTCTATGCAATACTAATTTCAGCCCAGTGAAAAATATTCTGTCCTATTTCAAAAAGTATAAAGATTTCTGCATTAGTTTAACAATACAAAGGATTTGGCACCATGATTTCCATACAGAATAGCCGATTCAAGCCCATGCTACATAGTACTGCATTATGCATGATTATTTTTAATGCTGAAACAAAAAACAACTGTAGAAGTTCTGCAAAGGGCATGCCAGCTTTGTTGGTTATTAGGCATTAATGTATTTGCATGCAAATCCCAAGTTGTTAGTTGTTGAAATCCTAGTTTGGTGCAGTTGAAAACAAAACTATCTGAACACACATAGTAAGACAATATAAAGAATCTTCTGTTATGTTTATGAGAATCCAGTACAATGAGGGATGCAGGTAGCTTATTCAGTTTTAGAAAATGACAAATTAGCATCCTATATTTGACTGTCTTCTGAGGAACCCAATTAAGATAAATCTTTACAATACTGTAAATATTTACAGTAATCATGTTGGTTGGTCACATTCATTTTCTTGTGTGGTAAGGCCTATCAGGTTTTATTTCTATTAAACTTGAAATAATCTAATTAAAATCTCTCTTTAAGTGGCCATAATACAGTTGTTGTATAAAATAAATTTATTGGAATAGCCTAGTCTGTGTTGAGCAGTGTTTACATGTAAACAGTTAACGTGCATCTGCTCTTTAAAATGGACACTGACGAACCTAACAGTTCTATATTTTAGTTTTGTGTGCATTTCCAACAAAACCTTTTGGTATTTGTTCTAAAAATCTTTTGCAATATTAATATCACAAACATTGAAGCATTGTGTTCGAGCTTGAGTTAGCTTGTCAGTAGTTCTTCAAACAGGTGTCAAATCTGTCTCAGGATCCTTTCATCTTTTTCTCTTCCCAAATGCACACCACCTTGTAGACTAATGCATTTTTCACACCTTGGACAATAGTATTACTAGCGTGAATTAATCTGACATCTAAAATTTTTACTTTTTAAATTCTGACATTTTTCTAACCCATGTAAAGAAGTTTAATTTTTTTAATGATTGTAGCTTGACAACTTTCCATTTAGCTTGCATTTTGATTTATCATACAATCACTTAAAAGATTACTTGGAAAGAGGGTATAAAATTGTATCTTTTGCTTGAAGACTCCTTGGAGGGCCAGAGAACTGTAGTGGGAGCTTTATCAGCTCTCATATGAAAAGCTGGCAGTCTGAAATTTTAAAAGCTCATGAGATCTTTGTTCCCAAGTGCATTTCAGGGGACTGAGTTCAATAGATGATGTTTAAAAGAGCAGAGTTGTAGACAGGCTAATTAAAAATTATATTTTCAAGCCTTTCTTTTGCAGTGTTCTTATAATCCCATGAGGTTTCCATCATAAACAGAATTGCCATGGCCCATCATTTTTATCATAAAAATAAACAAAAGAAAAACTTAACAGGAAAATTCAGTAAAAAGGGGAAAATGTTTTTTTTTTAAAAAACAAAAATCTAGACATGAAATTGTTTGAAAAGAGAAGGCTACATTTGTTCTAGCAGTAGAGCTGTTTTCAGGATACGTAACAACTAGATGCCTAGTTAATAGCCCAGTTAGTAGCACATCATATATCTGGAGTTAGGCTTATGGTGAACCCATTCTTACATTGAATTATTCATATTCTGATGGCCAAATTCTGCTAGGCCAGATCTGATTTCAGGCTTTAGCTTTGTTATCATCTAATTAACAAAACTATGATGTATTATTACTGCTATTTACATTGCTGTCAATTTGTTTTGGCTCCAGTATATGGTTTTATTTGTCCTTTACTGCAATATACCGAGTACCCTGAATTGGGTTGTTAGTTTAACAAGATCTCTAGAGAGCTCTTCCATGATGATGCATGTTAAGATGCTACAAAGCTTAAAAGCAATTTACCACAAACAAATGCCAAATCAGTAGGCGGGAGTCCAGAACATGAAATAATTTGTCTACAAAAAAAATGTAGGGTGTTTGCTTGTGCTTAGATTATTTGCAAAACCATAGATTTCATCACTTCCAGTGACCCCACAAAAGTTTAGTCAGCAGTATTCTGTCTTTACAATTCTTCCAGCAGTTCCAGCTGCACTTGCCATTCTTATTCCCTTGCCTTCACTACTACATAGCATTGCTATCTGCTGTTCCAAACCTGCTGTGCTCCACCACAGGACAAAAAGTGATTTTTAGAAATGAGGCAAAATTCAGGCCTAGGATAAGGTGGATTCATTGGTATTGTTTGACCTCTCCAGGCCTAACTTAAACTGCCTGTAAAGTCCCTTTGGGATAGAAAGCACTAGAAACAACAGGTGAAATCCCTGTGGAGCCAATTGGGCAATCTCTCACTGACTTCAATGAAGCCAACATTTTAACCCATGATTTTACTTGTGGGTTACCTCCATGAGATCCTAGCATGGTTAGAATGAACACAGTGCTTTTTCTAGCATAGATGGAATGTTTCCAGTGTGTGTTCCTCTAAAGATATTGCCAATATATAAAGTGTTTACCTAACAAAACAAACAAAACAAAACTTGTCTTCATATCTAATCACAAGGTGTGGTCAGATATTAATGGAGAGGCCAGGGTGGAGAATGAAGAGCTGCATAAATACAGCTATTACTGCAGCTACTCCAAGACGCATTCAGATTTCAGCGGCTGTGCTACCCCAGATGCAATCCTGACTTTATTTATCTGTATGAAAGTTGCAAATATTTAATGTTAGTTTGTGTGTTAAAACTGATGGTATTCTTTGTTTCCAGGTGGGCCATGCACAGGTACAGCTCATGTCTCCTTAACCACACCAACCAAAAGATCCTGTGACTCAGGTACCTTTTCCTTTGTGTTGGATTTCGCATAAAATGTTGCTGTATGGTAGAACTTGAGTGTGGTAAATATCCCTTAAAATAGCAATGACAAATAAACCGTAATGATTTGCTGCTAAGTGTGAAAACTGAAGCATGGCAGTTGCTTATAATGAAAATGGGCAGAGAATAAGAATTCTCTCAAAGTTTCCTCTAATGTCTAAACACTTAAATTTACTGCTTTTATCATTAATGTGACATAATCATACAAAAATACAAAAGTAATCCAATTGAACAAAATTAAAATTTATTTAGCTGGAGGGTCTTCAAAAGAGGCCCACTTTAAAAGTAATGTACAGAATTCAAAAAGCAAACCATTTCTGAGCAGAGTTGGCTACACCTTTCCTGATTGATTCCCTAGTCTGAAGGACTGATATACACAACTTCTGTGACTAGGATAAGCCTAATTTTTCTCAGTTCTGACAGAACCCTCCATGTCCTGATTTCTCCATGTAGCTGTAAGCAACATTAGGGCTGAAAAAAGGTATTTCCTATTAATTAAGGATTATCTCTCTTTTGGGGATTGGTGTCCTTCATTGAGTCCTTCAGTAGATGTTTCTCAGCTTAGCACTTTGTCCACTGGGTCTCTCTCCCACAGTCATCAAATATGAGAATTTTTCTTTCTGGTGTAGGCTTGGGGGGTCTGCTTTAACAAGAAAGTAAGTTTGCCTCCGTATTCCTCTGCAGAATAAACTGCAGTGCATCTGGTATTCCTAATTCCTGTTTTCCCTTCAAATAGTAACTGCTGTAATATCTAACTACAATTATGACTAAAGGATGGTTAAATATCTTTCTGGATAGATAGTCTTGAAAAATGCTGGGAGAAAGAACTACCTGAATATTAAAAATCTGATCATATCAAATCTGATAATAGCAAAATGGCAACTAAGGTTACAGTTTGCAGTGCGATATGGGAGCAACAGTATCTCCTTAAACTAAACTGGATGGAATGACTAGGTATGTTGGGAAATAGTGCATTAAACAGGTATGGTGTCTTTCCCCAATAGTTTTTATCCTTCCTGTTTGTGCTAGTAATCCAGAGAGATTTTTTTGGTCCTGTAGGCTCATGTGTATGTTAGGCTTACAGTGTTCTTGTAAACTAACAGAACTGCAAAGATGCAAAGAAAGCTTGCCATCTTCTCTTCTGGAGTACAACTAAACAAACCAAAATGGTTTTCTATTGCTTTTGGTTTTCTTAGTTTTTACCAAACTGCTTTTACCTTGTCATCTTTTCAGTGATCAAGGCTTGCATGATTTGGTTGCAGCCTCTCACGCTGAGCCCCCTGCCAGCAGTTAACATTGTTTTTCCATGTAAAAATCATATGTAACTCACAAAAATACGCACATTCTATTAAACATAGTACATAAGTTGTGTAAAAGTGAAAGTGCTTTAAATATAAAATACATTGTCAGGATTAATGCTTTGCTTGCTGTTAGCATTTCACCTAGTTTTGACAATGGAAATAAAGTAGGCAGTTTTGCTTTTAGACAGTTCCAAGACAATTTAATGTATAGGCTCTGATGCTTTTGCATGATGTGAGGAAAGTCTTACCTGAAAAAAACACTTTCTGAGTATAGATCACAGAAAATGTTTAATGTACCAATTGTCATTTTAAAAAAAATTGTGTTAAAATGTGCTTTTTCAAAACTTCAAACATTTTCATTGCTGCTTGATGAAGAGAGGGGTATGCTTTTCTGGCCAGTTGTAAGGAATCCAATTAAGTGTGGTATTTAAAAGAGGCATGAATTGCAAGGAGTTTTACTGTATACATATAAAATTAAGTTTGGGTTATGGTGAACTGGTAAACCTTACAAAGTAGAATACTGTGAGGGCTACTATAGGTATTTCATGTTCATTCAACATTTGCCATAGTAGCAGTTCAGCTTCTTTTTATTTCTAAGAAGTTGGTTAATTTGATTATTAAAAAATGTATTGCTCAATGTTACCCACTATATATAACTCTCCCTTTTGTGAGAATCCTACATTTCTGCTCTTTTGAGCTTTAAAGGAAGAATGTTTTGGTGTGAGTTCAGCTGAATTTTTTTTTCACTTCCAGTACAGATTTTCCCTTAGGTTTGCAGTATCAGTGTTTGAGACCAGAAAAACAGAAATCTGCCCTGCGTATGTTAGATGCAAGTTTCTATCGGGAGAATTTTAAGGAATACCTAAACCTTTCATATATTATTAGTATTTAATGTAACTGAAGATGATCAGAACAATCTGTCAAGACAAGGAAAAGGCGGTAGAGGAGGCTGAGTTTCTTTTAGTTTTTACCTTATGAACGTCCGTCCCTTTGGGTCCCAGAGAATCATTTGTGACAAAGGTATATAATACCATATATTGTTTTTTCCTCTTTGCCAAAGTTGATGGTATGGCTGTCAAGGTATTTATATTCTAAAGTGTGCCCAAAGGATAAGGATTTTGTAAAAGCAAAAAACT